TACACCCACCCCCCCCGGCGCCGCGCGCTGACCCCTCCCAGGCCACGCCTCCTCCCGCGACTCCCCACCAATCAGCTGCCGCTTCCTCCCGCAAGCCGCGCGACCCCGGGGCGCGTGACCCTCCCCCACCACACGCACCCACTCACCCAGCACCAGCCGCCCGCGAGCGACGCATGCGCAGAACGACTCCCACACCCCTCAACCGTCGCCCCGCTCCCCAGCGCCCCGTTGGCCGCGGCGGCGCGGTTCCCGCCCGCCCTGACCCGCACCGGGCCCCACTCACCGCCGGGCTCTCTCGGCCACCTCCGCTGCCGGCTAAGCCGCCGCCCGGACGCTCCAACCACCTCCTCAACCTAGCCCCGCCCACCCGGCGCGACGGACACCCCACGCCAACCAATAGCAGACGCCTTAAGTACCTGCATGCGCCAATCCCCGGCGGCGGGCAGGGCTGCCACATCGCGAAGCCCCGCCCGTTCCGTGATGGGCAAGCGAGTCCAACCAATGGAAACCAAGAGCTCCCGAGATCCAGCCAATCCCCGCGGAGGGCGGGGCTGGAGGAAGCTTTCGGCCCCCGCCTCTTTTGATTGACACCCTTGGCCTCCCAATCACACCACACGACGTAACCTGCCGAATTATGCCTCGCCCACATTCTGAGAAACGGCGTAGATGACCAATAAGGGTGTGCCATTTTAGAGTTAACCCAATCATCATTAGAGGGTGGAGCAATAAACTCACAAGCCCCTCCTCAGAGGCTGATTGACTGGCAAAGACGCCAATGAGACAGGTTTAGGCCAGCAAGCCATCCAACCGCTGTCGGAGGGCAGGGTTGAAGGTCCCGCCAAGGCATGAGACGTCCCGCGAACCGGCCAAGGGGCGGGCGGGAGGCATCTTCCTCGCCAATCTTGCTGCAGGGCGGGGCTCCCGCCGCTCAAAGTAGCGACAATCACTTTGACTGACAGCACAAACCAACCAATGGGGACACCGGCCCGCCCAATGGCAGCCCCCGCCCCACGCCTGACCCCGCCCACAGGCCGGCACCCTCCGAGCCCCGCCCAGGCCCGCGACTGACACGTGGAGCGGGCCAATGGCCGCGCTTCCCGCCTCTTCGGGACACGGTTACTCTCATGTCGGCGGGCTCCATGGAAACGAGGCCCCGCCCCCCCAATCGTCCCCCTACTCACCCCCCCCCCTACACCCCCCCCTCCACGGGAATCCCCCTCCCCCACGCCAGCCCCCCCCCTCCCGGACCCCCCCACTCCTCACCCCCCTTGGAAACCCCCCCCCCCCGCTGAGGCACTGACCCCACTGAGCGCCCACAGGGGCTAGGCAGCGGAGAGGAAACTGAGGCATTGCCCCACCCAGGGTTTTGCATGGGCCCGGTGCAATGCAGGGGTGGGGTACAAGCGAGCCCCGCTGCTCGGCGAGCTACCCCAGCGCCCCCCCGGCCGGCTGCTGGGGCCGGGCTAGCGGAGGGTGAGGGCTCCCCGGCCAATGAGGAGACGGCAGAGTGGCGGGCCCCTGCCAGCCTCCAGGGGAATGACGCAGCCACACAGATTGCGGGGTTGAGATTAGCCCAAGGCCAGGGCTCCTCTCACGCCGCAGGCCCTGGGAGCTGGGGAACTCATTGCCACATGATTCCTCACAGCAGCGGAGGGAGAGGGCAGGGCAGAGGGGTGGGAGACAGAAGCTCAGGCCACCATCCCACCCTAGCAGGACAGGCGAGGGCCATAGGTGGGCCCAGGCAGGATGTGGGCAGGCAGGGGGGGTGTCAGCTGCCCCACAGGAGAGCGCCCAACCAGGCTAGGCAGCACAAAGAGGGATCGACCAGCCCCCAAAGGCCCCCTGGAGATAAACCACCTGGAAAAAGAGGCTGGCCCCTGTCAGACTGTTGCCCACCCTGGGAACAGAGCTGTGATCTGGGCTACCCCTGCAGGGGGAGGCTAGGGAGCACCCTCCCCTGACCCCCTCCCTTGGGCAAATTTGCCCCCCACGCAGCGCCTAGGGCCTGGCCTCCTGTTTTAGGGGGGCAGCCGCCGCATGCCATGGGGCAATGATTCCCCCCCCCGCCACGTCCCACCAATGACCAGACGTAGGGGCGCCGGCAGGTTTTGCAAACGTCTATTTATTCAGTAATTCCTCTCACCAGTTCTGCACTAACCCCCCCCCCAGCCACCACCGCTGGCCGGGCAAGCAGCAGACGGACACCGGCTCCAGCAGCAGGGGGTGGGCTCCCCCGCTGCCGTGCCCCCCCCCATACAGAACCGGCACCGCAGGGCAACAGACACCCCATCCCCCATCGGTGAGCAAGTGAGTGTGTGGGGGGAGGGGGTGCAGGGGCGGAGTCAAGACAACACGACTAACAGTAAGGGGGCGGGGTTAAAGCGCCTCAAGAACATGAACGGGATCAGTGGGGGGGTTCCCAGCGGGGAAGGGGGGCAGGACCCCCCCCCCCCTCCCCAGCCCCAAACCTCAGACCAATTCCTGGGGGGAGGCCCTTTTGTCCATGTTTTGCATCACTTTAACCGTGGGGGGCGGATGTGGGGAGGCCCCGCCCCGTGAGCCCAGGGGGCGGGGCGTGGGGAGGCCCCGCCCCTAGCGGATGGTGTAGCGGACGTAGGGCACCTCGATGTCACACTCGCTGTCATCATTGCAGCAGAGCTCGAAGACCAGGGCCTTGACGTGCCGCCCGATCTTCTTCTTCGACACCTTGGTCACGATCTCCGTCATCCTGGGGGCGGGGCATAGTCAGGGCGGAGCTGGTGGGGACCCCCCCGAGAGAGGGGACCCCCCCGACCTGCAGCCAATGGGCAGACCCCCGGGACCAGGATAGCCCCTGGAGTGGGGACTCCCCCACCCCGATCCCCCCAGACACCAGGGAGAGCCCCCAAACCAGGTAAACCCGGCCCCCAATTGCCCCAGAGGGAGGGGGACCCTGCCCCACCCCCCCAGGGTGGCTGACAATGGGCCCAAGCGCCCAGGGAGCGGGCACCCCCCCCCAGGGGCACCCCGGGTACGTACGGCTGGTCGTGGCGCTCACGCAGCTTGGTGGGCGGCATGAAGAAGGAGTAGAGCATGGAGACGCCCTGCGACAGCATGGTGATCTCCAGCCGGTGCTCGCTCTGCGGGGGGGGGGGGTGGTGTGTGTCATCAGACAGCACCCAGATCCCCCCCCAATACCCCTCCATCAGCTCAACCCCCCCCCCACTGCCCCCCCAGCATGGTGAGCTCCAGCTGGTGCTCGCTCTGCAGGGTCGGACGGGACAGGGGGGGAGAGGGGGGTCAGCATGGAGATGGGACGTGGGGTCAGACAGCGCCCAGATCCCCCCTGCCTCCCCCCACCTCCATCAGCTCTCCATCCCCCCAACCAGCCCCCTGCCTCCCCCACCATGGGGAGGGGGGTAAGAAACCCTGATTCCGCCCCCCACCCCCTTAGCATGATGATCTCCAGCCGGAGCTCACTCTGCGGGGCGGGGGGGAATCAGACAATGCCCAGACACCCCCCCACGCGCTCTGACACCCCCACCCAGGTTTCACCTTGAAATAGGCCAGGAACTGGCGCAGCGTCATCTCCTCCCCGCTGGGCTGCACCCCCTGCACCTCGAACCGGTCCCACAGCGTCCACTCAATGTCGTAGTACTGGGGGCAGGGGGAGAACGGGTCAGAGATGCCGAGGGGGGGGGAACCCCCAGACCAGCCCAAACCAGACCCTTCCGTATCCACTTGTCGTAAGTCGGGGGGAGAGCACAGGACAGGGCACAGGTTGGGGGGACCCACCTTGTTCTGAGGGGGCAGAGGATATGGGCTGGGGCCTGGGGGGCGGCACTTCGGGGGGCAGGGTGGAGGGGCCGGGGTCCCTGGGGTGCACACCACAGCCCCCACCTTGTTGCGAGGGGGCAGAGGATACGGGCTGGGGCCTGGGGGGCGGCAGGTCAGGGGGCAGGAGCAGGGGCCCCCCGGGGAGGGGGGGGGCACACTGCAGCCCCACCTTATTGCGGGGGCAGGCGATGGGTTCGGAGAAGCCGAAGAAAGGCAGGGCCAGGTTGAGGAAGCCATTCTTGTAGGACTCCAGCCGCTTGTGGCCCTGCACCACTTTGTACAGCTCCAGACACACCAGCCCCACCACCGCTGCCGTCGTCGTGGCAATGGCTGGGATGATCTTCCCAGCGATCAGCTTGCTCTGGGGAGGGGCAGAGACGTCAGCGTTGGGCGGGAGGGGAGGCAGAGCGCCGCAGCGAGCCCCCTGCCTCCCCCGAACCAGCCGAGGCCGCTGCCCACCTTGTGCCGGTCGGCGGGTGGGATGTCGTAGTTCTCAGCCCGCAGGTTTGACGCCGCCACGATGAAATCCATGTGGAAATTAGTGTCGTCGTCCTGAACCAGAGAGAGGGTCAGAGGGAAAAGCTGCCACCTCTGGGGTGGGGCAGCCGGGGAACTGCCGCATATAACATCGCACAGGGATGGCTTGCCCAGTGGTGGGATGCAGCCACCTCTGGGTGGCAGCCAGGGAACGGATGCAGATAACACCACACATGGCCAGCGCTCGCTCCCAGGGCCCGGCCTGCACCCCCCCCAATCCCGGCCCGGGCTCCCAGGGCCCGGCCCCTCCCGGCTCACCTTCTCAAAGTCGATGGGGTACATGCGGAAGCTCTGCAGGTCCTCCGGGTTGGGCAGGCTGGATTTCAGCTCCTCCAGCCGGCTATCGTCTGGGGGCAGAGCAGAGCCCATGAACACCTGGCAAGGACACCCGCGACCACAAGGGGCCCCGGGCTCCACGCCAGGGGCCAGCCCTAAAGGCAGCAGACCCCCCACCCCCGAGTCGCGGTGCCCGAGGGCGCACCGGGACGGCCCCCCACGCCGTACCGACGGAGGCGTTGGCGTTCTGCAGCTCCTGGTCCGAGATGTGGATCCGCACGCCAGACTTGGGCGTGAACTCGGGCACCTGCACCTGGTGCAGCAGCTCGGCCACGGCGCCCACGTCCCGCGTGCCCGTGATGCCGTAGGTCTGGGCAAAGAGATTCGCCGCCGCCACGATGTAATCCATGTGCAGGGGCTGGGGAGGGGGGGAGAAAAACGGGTGTTAACCCTGAGCCCTAATGAAGACCCACCCCCTGTAATCCGTGTGCAGGGGGGCGTTTACCCTGAGCCCTATCGACAACACCCCCCTGTAATCCATGCACAGAAGTGTGGCGGACAGATGGGCATTAACCCTGACCCCTAATGATCACACCCCCACCCTGTAATCCATGTGGGGGGCTGTGGGGGGAAAGATGGGCATTAACCCTGGCCCCTAATGATCACACCCCCACCCTGTAATCCATGTGGGGGGCTGTGGGGGGACAGATGGGTTTTAACCCTGACTCCTAACCTGATAATCTATGTGCTGGGGGCGGGGGAAGGGAGGGAGGACGGGTGTTAACCCTGACCCCTAATGACACCCCCCATACTCACGTTGCTGTCGTCGAAGGTGAGGGGGTGGGGACATCTCTTGGGCCCTGACCAGAACAGGGTGCCGGAGTTGGTCTTCTGCAAGACACCAGAGGGGGCGGGGTGAGAGCCGGGGCCCGGAGGGGGTGCTGGCTCTGGGGGGGGGCCCAGAGGGGCGGGCGGGGGCTCACCTGGTGGGGCGGGAAGTTGTGCAGCAGCTGGCGGATGTTGTTGCTGTACTGGCAGTGCCAGTGGCGGCAGGCCCAGCCCACGCAGTCGGCCCAGCTCCGGGGCCGGTCGCTCACCAGGCTCTTGTTGACGGCCTCCAGCACCTCCAGGGGCTGCGTGCCCGGCAGCTTGAGCGTGCGCTCCATGAACTTGGGGTCTCTGGGGGGACACACACGGCTCAGAGGGGGCAGCCCCCCAGACCCTCCCGCCCCCAGGGGGCCGCGCCCCCCTCCCCCCGCCACTCACGAGATGTACTGGTTGACGCTCTCCGCCGGCTGCTTGAAGAGGCCTTCGAACTCGTCCCGGGCCCACTGCGGGACAGAGCAGAGTCACCGGGGTGGGGGCACCCCCCAGGCCATAGGGCGGCACCCAGGGAAGTCAGATGAATTAGACACCAGCCCCCGAGCCGGGGAGAGAACCCAGGAGTCCTGGCTCCCAGCCCCCCCTGCTCTAACCACTAGCCCCCACTCCCCTCCCAGAGCCAGGGAAAGAACCCAGGCGTTCTGGCTCCGAGCCCCCAGGCTCTGACCCATCAGACCCCACTCCCCGCCCAAGCAGCGAGGCAGAAGCCAGGCGTCCTGGCTCCCGGCCCCGCAAGGAGGGAACCCCGGCGTCCGGGCGCTCACCTGCAGCGTGTGCTCAATGGCGTTGGGGAAGTTCTTGAGGGTGCAGATGGGGATGGATTTCTCGGGCGGGTCCTGGCTGGAGCTGTACGACTCCGTCAGGAAGGGGATCACCACCTGGACGTTGCCCTTGGTGCCCAGTGTGCCAGACTCCAGCAGGGGCTTTCGGTAATAGACGCACCGGCGGTCCATGTACATCCCTGGGGGGCAGGCGCACAGGGTTAGCACCAGCATGACAGGGCAGGAGGCCCTAGGACCACAGCAATGGGGGGCCAGGACGGCTCGCCCGGCGCTGAGATGCGGCCATCTCTGGGGCGGGGCAGCTGGGGAACAGCCACATATAACAGCACACAAGGATGGCTGGCATGGTGCTGAGATGCGGCTGGGGGACGGCCCCACCCGCGCGTCACTCACTGGCGTCCACGTTGTCCAGCGCGTTGGCCACGCCGTCCAGGCCCTCGAAGAAGTCGTCGTCGTAGACGCGCTCCGTGTCGGGCCCCACGCGGTCCTGGTGGCTCGTGATGTGGATGTTGGGGTTCATCTGCCGCACCGCGGCCGCTGCGGTGTCAGACTTCATTTTCTGGGGGAGGGGGGGACCCAGAGTTAGTAGCCTGAGATACGAATGGAACCCAGGCGTCCTGCCTCCCAGCGTCCCCTCCCAGAGCCAGGGAGAGAAACCAGGCGTCCTGGCTCCCAGCCCCCCCCACTCGCAGATCCCGCTCCCCAGCCCCCCCAGCGCACCGTGACGTCCCAGGGCCGGAAGAGGAACTGGCGGTTGAGGTTGGATTTCTCGATGGTGTCCATGTCGGTCACGGTCACCTCCCCGCCGTCCCCGCACGCCAGCCCCAGCAGGGCGAAGTTCTTCAGCAGCTCGCAGCCGATGGCGCCGGCACCCACCTGGGGAGGGGGCGAGATGGGGGGGGAGGGTCAGCGCCGGGGGAAGGCCAGCCGCACCGGGGTCCAAACTCAGCGCCCGGCGGCACACGCCAAGGGCCGGGGCCCCACAGCACAGAGCATCGGCCCCAGGGCCAGCAGCTGGGTTTCTCCCCCCGGGCGTTTGCCTCCAAGGAGCTGGGGTCAGACTCCGGTCGCCCAGCCGCTCCGGCTCGTCCCCCCGGGGGCAGCGTTCACCCCTTTGAGCCCCTCGCACCAAGGGGCTTTGCTGTGGGGCCGAGGTCCGGGCGCTCCGGACCCCGCGGTAACGGGGGGACCCCTCAGGGCCCAGGGAGTCCAGGGGGAACCCGACCGCACTCACCAGAAAATACTTCTGCTGCCCCAGCTTGGCCTGCAGGTCGGCCCCGAACACGGCGATCTGCCCATCGTAACGGCTGTTCCTCTGGGGAGAGGGGAGAGAAAGTCACCGCAGCTCCGCCGGTGCCCCCCAATCCCGACCCGCGGCTACCCCAGTGCCGGGCTCCCTGCAGCTCCGCCAGTGCCCCCCAATCCCGACCCGCGGCTACCCCAGTGCCGGGCTCCCCACAGCTCCGCCGGTGCCGCCCCCCAATCCCGACCCACGGCTACCCCAGTGCCGGGCTCCCCGCAGCTTCGCCGGTGCCCCCCAATCCCGACCCGCTGCTACCCCAGTGCCGGGCTCCCCGCAGCTCTGCCAGTGCCCCCCAATCCCGACCCGCAGCTACCCCAGTGCCGGGCTCCCCGCAGCTCCGCCGGCGCCCCCCAATCCCGACCCACGGCTACCCCAGTGCCGGGCTCCCTGCAGCTCTGCCGGTGCCCCCCAATCCCAACCCACAGCCCCCCCACTATCCCAGCCCCACCTCCTGCGGTCACTCACCGGGCGGCACTGCTCCTCCGTCAGCGCCTCCTTGCTGTCCTCGGGCAGACACTCCAGTGCGTCGAAGTAAAGCCACTGTGTGATGGGCATGAACTTCCCGGAGCAGGCCTGGGGCAGAGGGGGAGCGTCAGGACAGGGGCACACTGGCCAGCCCCCCCACGCACCATGGACCCCCCGACGGGGATCCCTGGGCCCCGGAGGATGCAGATCCCCAGCAGCGCTCGACAGTGGGGCCCAGCCCCCAACTCGGGAGCCTGAGAGATTTCCAGCCCCACTCCCTGCTCTAGCCACCCGAGCCCACTCCCTTCCCAGAGCCAGGCATAGAACCCCGGAGTCCTAGTTCCCAGCCCCCCGCCCCATCCC